AACCTACCCTACACTACAACCTACCCTACACTACAACCTACCCTACACTACAACCTACCCTACACTACAACCTACCCTACACTACAACCTACCCTACACTACAACCTACCCAACACTACAAACTGTGTAGAACTTCATTGGGCATCCACCCTGTAAAAAAGTTTGAGTTTGGTTTCACAGAAATCATGTGGTTAATTTTTTAATTTAGAAGGTTGGGAAACAAATTATTTTCAAAGTTTTAAGTATAACTCCTCATAACATTTTTTGGACCAATTTTGATTTGAAAATTTTTGTACAATGCGCAATGAAATTTTACAAATTATAAATTTTCTTTCATCCAGAAATGAGGAAAAATGAATTTAGTACATGTGAAAAATCAAAACATTTTTGTTGAATTTTTCACAATATCAAAAAATGTTTGTGTTTTTGTTTGTAACTTGGTCAAATTTCAACATTTTGCAGCATTAAAAAAAGAAATTTAGAAAACTGCATTGCTTTTCCATTGCTGCAAAGAAATTAATTTTCTGTGAATAATTCACAGTTTCACAAATTTTTAGAGTTTAAAAATTGTTCACAACATTTCCAATTTTTTTTATTCAACTCCCTGTAACTCTTTTTCTTTTCATGCAATCTACAAATTTCTTGCAGGACATTGAGCACAAAGATGTTTACAAATTTAGCTGTTTTGTTCATTTACATTTCTTCCAAATTGAATTTATTACATGTAGAAAAACAAATTGTATTTTGTAGATTTTTGTGTGATTTTTATAAAATGTTTTTGTATTTTTCATTGTATCTTAGTCAATTGTATACATTTTTCAAAATTAAAAAAAGGAGATTTAGAAAACATCTGTGCGCTTGCAATAATGCAAGAAAATTGAAAATTGAATCAAAATTGAATTAATGACACTTTTTTAAAGTCAATACATCTGGAAACGAAAAAAGTCCGACTTTCAAGTTAAAATCATCATAATATTTTATGTTTTGGAGCAATTTAAATTGTTAAATTTTTTTTGAATGTGCAATGCATTTCTACAAATTTACAATTTTTTTGGCTGAAATAACTTGAAAATTAAGCAAGTTATGATTAAAAATATGAAATGATTTTAGAAAAAAAATGTGCCAGGGGGTGGGATTGAACCCAGACCTCTGTCTCAGATCCACTGCACCATGCGTTTTTTTCTTTTGGGGCCAGGGAAAACCTGATGGAAATGACTGCATACTTTTGCGCCAGTGGGAGGGAGAAAATCCTATGCTGAAAGTATGTAGGAAGGGAGGGACAGGCATGAAGGGAAGTTAGCAACTTTATTAGTATAGACTAGGGGAGGGTGCCCAGCCACACCTGGGCAGTGGCATCACAGGATAAGATTTTGTTTCCTGAACTGAAAACTCCTAAAACAAAATTTCCCCAAGTTGGGAATTTTAACACTTGTCAAAATCAATCATAATAAAAATTATGTGAATAAGAATTATGTCAATTTTTGTACTGATATTGAATGTTTACATGTCAAGTGCCATCATTATTTCTATGCACATTGTATAGGTTTTGTTGGGCACCACACAATTTTTTGCAAAGTTTCAAAGTTTACAAATTGGCAACTCAGGCATTTCGAAAGTTTGTTTCGGGTGATCCTTCCCCTTCCACCTCCTAAACTCCTTCCCAGGAAGCCAACCCCCCTCCCCCTTCCTCCCCTATGGAACAGAGGGTGGGGACCCCACAGAAGATGACCCTTACACCCACTGTATATTAGATATAATAGTGAACTGTTACACAGGCCACTGGTGTGATACTTTTGATTTCGATAAATGTTTATAACTAACATGTTCAGCCTATAATAACACTTCCAGCCCAAAAAATCAAATTTTGAAATTTAAATGCTCATTTGTTGCTGCAAAAATAATATTTTACAGGAGATTTCAAAATTTTCAGGATTCCCAACTTTTGTTCAGCTCCCCAGGCATTATGAATGCCAATTTGCATGCTCAGTGAAGGTATACAAATTTTGCTATTTTTTAAGTATAAAATAATAGATATTGGGAAATAATATTTTCACAATTTTCCAAACTACAAATTACAAATATTTTTATTTTGCTGTTATCTGTTATATCAGCCCAATTGTTTCAGCTGAGATATCATCCCCAGTCATTAGGCAACCCTGCTACAAATGTAGACCATTGAAACCCTTTCTGTTTTGTTGAAAGCTCACCATGAAATATCCTACAACACTCTTGTCTGATATTGTGCTGCAGCTACTCAACCACACCTGGGTCATATTTCCTACACTGCAATTTACCATGTATAATATGCAGTATACAGTTGTTTTTTTTTATACACCCAACAACCAATACACAAATGTTTATATTACTCACAGTACAAACTACCAAGGATTTACCATGTCTACCAATCCATGTCCTGATGTTTTTTTGTGACTTCTCATTTTCAAATGCATGACTTTGCTGGGTATAGGAAGCACAGAGGAAATAAGAAGGAACATTCCCCAGAAATGGGATATGGATTCAGGTTCAGGCATAAAAATTCACAACCAAGATAGAAGACAGAAAATGTGTAGTTAGGGGAACATAGCATGCTGTGCAGTGGATAAATTGATCTCAGTGAATATAAGAAAAGCCTTTTGAAATAAGACACATTGCCTGCTGAAGTCACCCTCACAGATTATTAGTTTGATGAAGGTTATGCAGTATTTAAAAGTACTGGATATCAAATTCATCAACTGAAATCTCTTTGCCCAATTTTGTTCTATTTCCTAAAAGGGTTTACAATTTTCTAAATAACTGGTTGTATTTGCAAATA